TAATATGTGTGTGTGTGTGTGTGTGTGTGTGTGTGTGTCAGAGAGAGAGAGAGAGAGAGAGAGAGAGAGAGAGAGAGAGAGAGAGAGAGAGAGAGAGAGAGAGAGGTATACGAAAAAGATTGATTGGGCGATGCCCTCTGAACAACGAGACACTGTTATAACTTATGTGCTTTACTACAAAGCCCACACAAACCCATCATCTGACCTACCTCGGCAGAGAAATGTATTCAGTAGCTGCACCGCTCTGCTGGTAACTCCAGTCGACCGCTGCCGAAGATCATGTGCATGGAAAACTGAACCTTTCAATCCCGAGTACTACGACCAGCTCACTAATGAACCACCTTGATAGGCTCCTTATTAAATTTACATGAGCAGCAATTTCTTAATGACGTCTATTATCGGTCCGTCAACATGAGCGCACCAACAATTAAAGAAGTGTCGAACTCGCCGCACTGCACTGTGCGCTTTTATGCGGCAATCGGAGCATATGAACACAGCCAGTAATTACCCTAAAACTAATTGAGATTGTTCTCCGTTCAGCGTAACATAATATCTTTACACGTGCCGTTTTGCATTCATGCATTAATTGACCAACCTGGAAGTTATGGCCTGAGAAACGTACAGGTGGACCTACAACTCGGTTTTCATTTGTTCTTTTGGCAGGTTGGCTTCGACTCGAGGATTTCGTCTGCGAAATGAGCGCCAGCACGTTTAAAATCTGGCCTCGGCGATGTAGAGATAATCTAAGCAGACATTTAAGAAATTATGTTGCCTCCATAACCGAGGAAATATCATCAAATACTTACGCCATCGCGATTAAAAACAAATCAGTAAGCGACCCCCTTCCTCAGTCTCTTAGCGTCTTTCCTGGTTGATTGTATTATGACGCGGACTATGGGGAAATCATGCAAATGCCGCAGATTACAACGGGGCAGGTGGAGGGACCTGTAACCTAATTTTCCAAATTTTCTTAATGACTGTCGAGGCAGATATCGCATGTCTTAAGTTGATGAAATTTAGGAGGCCGTGTTCTTCGATCGTGGCTGTAAGGAGTTGTAGATCGGGGATTAAAAATAGAGAAACCGATAGAGGGAACGCGCACGACGAGTGGCCAACAAAGAGGATCATGTTCAGACAACGAGGTACAGAGGCGTACCAATGTACTGTAGGTGGTGAGCGCGATATGAAAGGACCCCAAATTTCCGTATAAAAACAAATCAGGGAGCAGAGTCTCGTGAATATTTATGTCTAAACGTTAATATTTATGTTTAATGTGTACTTTATTTTTCTATGGGGGGGCACCTTTCTATTAGGAATGCAGAGGACGTGTGCTATAGATAAAAACTGATACTCGAAACAAGGGGTTTATTTATTTACTGTAGTCCAACAGACACTAAAAATATACGAAATCAATGAGCAAACATCAAGTCAGTGCACTCTGCACTTCCTATACATGTACATACAAAACATCCTTTCTTTCGACTAATTTAGCAGATATCGACTGAAAATGAAACAAATTAGGTAAACAATTTTTTTTACTGTACGTCATGACAAGAACTTCGAGACAGTTGTTGACGTGTTTCAGATCACCCAATATAAATAAAATCATAAGTCATCAGTTCACAAATCACAGTAAATAAAATTTTATTCATATCTCCATATCTCACTGATGCGAGTCGAAAAATCAACGAGTACAATGTCTTCGTTTCACGAAGGGCGAAGGATAAAAAGCCGCATTCGCGAGTCGCCAGGGAATGGGGTGCGTTACGGATCACGATATATAATATGAACATTTCATGCATCTCGGGAAATAAAAAGTGGCTTTCACGGGCAACCAAAAAACCCATTGGGACCCTCACATATATATTGTTTTCAAAAAGGGCATGAAAAAAAGCATAGAAAATTGTCAATATACATGCAATTTTTTTTGAAGTCCTTAGAATACTGCCCTGCAATCAAGATATAATTACATTAACCATTATTGCTGCCCCTGAATCACAATTTACACATTTGAAAGGATTATGCGACAACGCAATACAAGGACAGGAGAACTAATTATCCAACTAGTGGAATGAAATTTTAACTTTTACTTTCTTTAAAAAAGTAAATAATGAATGTAATGATGAAAGCAACATAATGTAAGCTACTTACGGCAGCTGATAAAGGACAATGCAGGGAAGGATAATCGATATATTACTCACGTTTTCTGGAGCAACATCTACATTTTGATAGAGAGGTCTGCTTCAGTTGGGCGCAATCAGGTCCAAAAAGACGCTCCAGTGAAGAACACGCTAACAACAAGACGTACTTTAAACAAATTACTCACACATACATACATACATACATACATACATACATACATACACAGGATAAAATTACAAAATAGCCTGCAGAGAGAGAGAGAGAGAGAGAGAGAGAGAGAGAGAACTGACGAGAAAGATAAACCATCAGTGGCGTTGTCGTCTCTGATCCGTCTATCCGTGACACAACCGCTATGTTAGTGGAGGTGGTGAATAGAAGATGTTCAAGTATACAGAACGGCCTTTTACAAACAACCTACAATTAAGCGGACAACATACCGATTAAAAAATTCGATCTGATTTTTTTTCACGAAACAAAGACCATGGGTTCTTTTTGTGAAGCTCGTGTTATTCATTTTTTATATTATCTAAATTCCTCACACCGCTTTATCTAAAGGAAACCAACTGCAAATGGGTTACATGTAATACCTTATTTACAGTTATATATTGTAGTATAGTGTTAATACATGTCTTATTATTTGTAATATATTTCCCAAGTGCATGATGCATAAGTTACAATGAATAGCTATTTATCTTTTAAAATATTTTTGATATTTTGTTTCAAGGTCACAATAACTTATCTTTGACTTTTCTTTTAAATAGGACAAGAGTAACTGAATAACCAAGCTCTTAATTTTTTACATTTAATATATTAGAAGTTATAATTGTACATAATCATATAAAAGATGTATCTTTAATAACGAACTCGAAAATATCAAATTGCCGCAGTTCTAATATCACACAAAACCCACTTCGCTTGACGACCAATACTACACCTAAACAACATCTTATTTTTCAAAAGAAAAATTGAAATTTTGTCTTTCAATAGAATTCCACACTTTTAAACTATTTTATTTCTAAAAGTATGTTTTAACCTATTCTGAGTGCAAGTCATATCAGGATTTAGATCATTTTGTCAATCACTGTATTTAAACGCGCGTAGCTTACGTCACTGCTGTAAACAGATAAAAAAATAACATACCTACCCTTTAGATTGATTTTTGACTAAATATTCACAGATATCGTCACGTGCACACGGCCGTTCACGTACATATACGTAGGCACGCATCACGCTTTTCAAATAAACACGGTTTTAATTATAGATCGAGTTGCGACGGTAATTAATTTTCCCATTTCCAAATTTGAATAGTTGCTGGTGTATACTGTTACTTGTGATTTGGAATGTGACAAGCTAACTGCCTTCAAGGGTTTTGAGAAAAGAGGGGCATTTGGTAACATTCAAGAGAGCGTTTGAGGCAAGGGTCCTATTTGACACTAATTAAGTACTCGTGACGATTTCCGTCACAGACATGTACTGAACTGTCTCTTCTTCTGAGAAAGTGCCACACCTTGTTCTGAAAAAAGGTGCGACTGTCAAATATCGAGTTTCATAAAATTTTTCTGATATTCGCTGCATGTTTTTCGTCTATTTTTCTGTAAATGAACATCGGTAATGTATGGTGGTGATTATGCAATAGTATTGTACCCGAAGCTTTATTTCCCGGTGTAACACGAGTACAACTCCGCTAGGAACCGTAGTCCGCTTCTCATTACTTTGTACAGGTGACATTCGTCCCATATACTAACCCCAATACTCCAACTAACCCTAACGTGTACTAATCTTATGGGAGCCTGTACTTCGAATTCCTGTCCCACCTGGCCTCAAACTAACAAGTCCAAGGCTGTGGTCAGTTCTACCAGGGCCATAGATGGATTTTTTTCACTCGATTTTCACCGATGTATCACCGTCTAATTCATTACACCTTTTTCTACTGTGCATTTTAAGCTAGAATTTTTGTACGGAATTTATGCCATCACTCAGCTGGCCTCTAGTACGGAGTAAACCGGAACGACGTACGGCATCGTCACGTGCGCATGGCCGTTCACGTACATAAAACGTAGGCAACCATCACGCATTTCAAATTAACACAGTTTTTATTATAGACCGAGTTGCGACGGTAATTAATTTTCCCATTTTCAAATTCAAGCTGTTGCTGGTCATCAAGGGTTTTGAGAAAAGAGGGGCATTTGGTAACAATCAAGAGAGCGTTTGAGGCAAGGATCCCATTTGACACCAATTAAGAACTCGTGATGATTTCCGTCACAGACATGTACTGAACTGTCTCTTCTTCTGAGAAAGTCCCACTCCTGTCCTGAAAAAAGGTGCGACTGTCAACTATCGAGACGAGCTGCATAAAATCTTCTGATATTCCCTGCAAGCTTCTGGTTTCATTTTCTGTGTTAGAATATCCATAAATGAATGGCAAGTATTATAGCTTTGTACCTGAACAGTTACCCCTTTCCCGCCCTTCCAACTTCAGAAATAAAAACAAACAAGAAAATTGGACACAATTTTTATTCCCCTCTGACCATTACTAAGATGACATTTGATGCACTTCTAAAATTATCGTCGTTCCAAATAACAGTATTCAAACTGCTGCCGGCTTCAACTTCCCAGTCTTTTCTAGCTAGGCGGTTAAGATGTTGACATAAACATGTTTTAAGATATTTCAATATTTAAATACGCATACAAATTTCACGAAATGTCCTCTTTTCAAACTATTCAAGGTGAGCAATGAGACGCTCATGCACACAACGCCCACCCCAACGTGTAACTAGCTCTGGCATTAAACCGTCTGATTTCTTTCCTCGTGGAAATTCTGTAGAACCAATTTTTAAGTAATCTAAATACTCCGTTAGTGGTAGGCAAAGTTGATATTTGAATATCATTACATTTGTTCAATTACTCGAATTTACGATGACCAAATGTGTCCTTTTAAATCCAAACGACGACAATGATATATCTAAGCAATTCCACAACTAGCCGAATACAACAAATATATGCTACTTTTTGTAGATAGTATCATTATAAGTTTTTAGACAAAAAAATAAATAAATAAATAAATGAATAAAAAACGCAAGCCATGCTTCACGGATACACAAAATGTGCACAAAATAACATATTGAAATATTGTCTGTTTTTTAAACCTTTGTTGATGGTTAACCAAGTTTTAAACATGCCACATGAAGAGTTTAATATTATGTTGTACTTCAAACCAGTCCAATACTCTGCACACATTGTCTGCGCTCTATTTCTATCCATGTTTATCCCTTATATTTCAACATTTCCACCAAAAACAACAAGGCTTATTTGTCAAGTTTTTTAATCATTTTAGAATAACCCTCTGACAGCATAGTCCCCAACTAAGGCAGAGATGACAGCAAGTGGGCCAAAAACTCCTCAGGGTTGGAGATTTCTTCCAAGAGTCCTGAAACAAACAAAATAATAATAATAATAATAATAATAATAATAATAATAATAATAATAATTGTGTATTTAAGGTGCCTTAAGTGAATCAGATCACTTGTTGTGATCAATATTTCATAAAATCTTTCCATTAAAGTAACTGATACCTTTGAGTCACATTACGATAACAGAGAATAGAGAAAGAAGAATGCTGAAAATTGTGTTCAACAAACAATAAATAAATAAATTAACTAGAAAAGCCATCAGAATGGGCAGATTTCTATCACAACAAGTCAATTCACATTATTAATCAATAAATTAATAAACAAGTCACCAGCAAAATCTTATCAATTCTTAGTGAGCCCATTTCTGATCTATGCTGAAAATAAATAAATGTAAAAATAAATGCATTAATAATGAACATTTTTTACCCATGACATCACAGAATTCTCCAAAAGACTCGCACGGTAGCATCTCTTCTTCGTAGGTTTTGACCATCTTGTCTGCGGCCTCCAGCACAGGCTTGTCATTGCGACGAATAAACTCTGCTAGAGAGGTCGACCAACTCCCCTCTGACGTCTGCGGAACCTTCTGGAAGATTTTGTTGAATCTTTAATAAAACTGAACCTTAGTAAATGTGACTTTCCATACTCACTGGCCCGCATATCCCACAAAAAAAATTTATCACATACATATGACAAGACTGAAAAATTGTGAGTCTATCTTTATATTTACTCATAAAATTCATTACAAAATTTGCATAAACAAAAACAAGAGACAAGCTCAGTTTCTTTTTTACACTGCTCGCCTGTTTTGAAATAAAATCCACAACTTACAGCACATCAGTAACAAGTACAAAAGCAAAACTCTAAGTTACCTTGTACATTTCCAGCATTATTGAGTTCAGCAAACCAAAGAACACCAACATCGGCTTGTACACGGCATAGTCCTTCACGGTCTTGTCTGCCAGACTGATAAAGAAAATATTGAGAGTGAGAGAGATTATCTCTTCGTTCACAACAAATTAAAACACGGAGCTCACTATTAATCTAGGAAGTGATGTGGGAAATTCAAAATTGGTTTCATATTTGTATAATATATCCCACTCCCAATAAGACTTTGTATAACAAACCAATTTTAGCCAGATTATACACTTTCCTTCATACCCATAAGATAGCAGTATCAAGGTTTAGGTTTTGATTGATGTTTTTTCTTTCTTTTTTTCTTGACAGGCAGAATATTGTCTATTTAAGGTACACACGAAAATGATAAATAAAACAGATATCAACAATCTAAGGTTATCAAAGTAGTCAACACTACTGTTTATCATGCTATTACTGAGGGATTCAAGCTGAGATTAGAGCAAAAGTACAAAGATTGTGGTTTTCACATCTTTGGTACAAACAAGTCATGTGCAGTTAAACAGTCACAAAATTGATCTTATTGTGACAGAAAAAAAATCACCTTCCTTGCTTTTAGAAATAAAATAAAATGAACAAGTAAACTGAAATCTAATGAATTATCAATCAATAAGTGTCCTTTTTAACATATTCTAGCAAATCTAAGTATCTCTCAGACCCCATTCCCACAGATTTAGATCGATCTATCCCTGTGGGGAGTCTCACTAGATTACTGTCAGCTTAGCCGGCTTAAGCGTCTGTCCTGCCTGCTAAAAGCTATAATTAACTACCGTGCGCTCGGCTGACATCAATTTAGCATGAAACCCCAGAAAGTTAGGTCGATCTAGATGGATCCATCTAAATCTATGGGAATGCCCTCTTAAGTAAACAATGGTAATCTAACCCTGGGTCTGTCCTGTCTTACCTAGTGGCTCCACCTGGTGCCAGGTGTCTGGCATGGGCCAGAACCAGCAGCCTCTTCAGGATCATGACTCTGTGCTCCTTCCACCGGTCTCGGTTCAAGATGGTCAAGGCCAAAACTGACCAGAACAGAGGACCGTCCACCTGAAATAAAAAACGGAAAAGTTTTAAAAATCTGCAGAGTTATGCTAGCAATGCTATACCGAAACACCTCCAATTTCAGGTCAATATCATCAGCTTTTTCATCTTTTTATTGAATTATACAGGTTTGCTTTTACACAACTGTTTAAGCACCAGTCCAATTTCCTAAAGCTAATTAAAAAAAAATACAACATAAGTTTTGTAGCTTCAACACTTTGTTCAAAGCTGTGTCCATCTACAGGGGGATTTACAAAATCAGCATCAGATAGTTTGGTTTACCTCAGGCTTACAGCAGACCTCAATGTCATGTGTGCAGATTTGGACTGGTATAAATAGTCAGTAAAACTAAAATTTTACATTCTTTGTGAAACACGCTTAGTAGGCTACAGTCTTGTAGGCTTTTAACAAGCTGACTTTAGGTAACTGAAGATTTTGGAATTTTTGAGAAGGGGAATTGTGAATTCACAAACTGACTAAATTTTTTTATGCAAACTTGCCTTCAGTATATTTTAGAAATCAATGCAAATAAGAGCCCATTAGGTTTCAAATATGACTGAAACCCTTTCCAGATAGACGAGCTGCGACTATATCAATGAAATGCGGGCGTAAATCAAGAGCTCTGCCACACCTCTAAAGGAAATGTGCCCTCAGATTTCCTGGAGGACTGTTAATTTGATTAACTAAAGCGGATGCGTAGGACTTTTGACAGAAGTGTTAAACGATGGACAAGCCTGTACACTTGTATTCTCTCCTTCAGCAAAAAAAAAAATTTTTTTGAAGAAAATTTACAGTGACAGCCAGATACAAAATATAAGCAGTGACAATATGTAGAAGGATGATGCCCAGGTCTACCACTACTACTCCTATTACTACTAATGATATATATTTATTGCAACTCACATCAGTTAGATTGCAGTGCTCCCGAAAAATTTTGGCATTATGGCTGACATAACATATCTCAATGTCAGACATTTTCTGATCATGCCAGATATTTGAAAAGCATATCTTTTTTCATCTCTTAATTATGTAGACAGGTCCAATAACAACAGCAGCATGAAAGAGTGCCTACATCAGGTACACTGTGAAATAGTGGCCACATTTTCCAGCATGTCTGTCTGTGATGTAAACTTTTCCATTTTCTGGCCACCTTGATTTGTCAAATAGTAATGTCAAATGTAAGAGTTTAAGAATTCAGAAATAATATCAATCAAATCGAAAATATCTTCTGAAAACTCAGTTCCATAATAATTGTTTTGGTGGAATAATTGTACTGCCTGAAAAATTTTCTAAAAATAAATATTTGTACTGGATTTTTTTTTTGTAATAACTCTTCCATGGGTACACACAAAATACTAGTAGTTAGAAAATGCAAAATGTATATCTATGATTGTTTAATTAGAATTTTATATTATTTATATTATTTTATTTTAAAATCCTTATTTATTTTTAAAAAATACAAGAGAAAGCCATGTAATGGTGCTCAGACGTTGCTTTAATTATATAATATTTATTATTAATAATAACTAACCTTAAATTTTAATCATTATATAAATATTTGAAATTTTAAAATGAACTTTTATCATATAAATTGCCAATTGAAAAAATTAAATATGATAAATACACAAGAATACAATGGTCCAATATATGCATGATGAATTGAAAAAAAGCTATTAAGATCATCTCACATTTATTTTCAAAATTCACCATTAGCTTTTTTAAAAAATAAAGTTACATCATTTTTATCACAGAGTCTGTACTTTATGGCAGCTGAACAGAAACCAAGACGATATCTGCCTTGGTCAACTACAAGTATCTGCTCTGCACTGGGGAGATGGAGAACGGCGCAACTGTGTCTGCACTGTCGACGTGTTCACCCCTCAACTCGGTGGCTTCTAAGCTGGCCTGAACTGGTTCAGCAGTGGTAGGCCAAACATGCTGTAGTGGGGAATACACATTGGTGTCATTTTTTTTTTACTATACATTTGAGTTGTTAGGGAGAATCGGATTCAGAGTCCAAGCATGGATATTCTATTTGAGTTCAAAACAATAAAGTAAGTTCCAGTAGACTATGCATTTGCTTTAAATTAATAAAAAGTTGTACAAACAAAGTATTTAACCCCAGAATTTTGCAAGGAGGGTAGAAAATGCTCGTTAGGGCAATAGTTACTAGTATCAATGCATGACCTACTTTTTCGCACTGGAGCACTTCAGGCAGTGGCAAAAAGCACTGACAACTGGGCTAGGACTTAGTATTTTAAATGCTTTGTCAGCTGATAGTACAGACATTGTGACTGACATGCTGACGTTATACGCCGGACATTTTCAATTTATGACGGATTTGTCCGGCTGTCCGACGGTTTTTCAGGAACACTGAGATTGTACAATATAAGGCATGCTTTTGAAATCTAATAACTGCTAGTATTTGGCAATTTTTGCCCGGTCTTTAAGGACCTATTCAATTTATTTCTGGTTTTTATGAATCTGTTCAATTTATGCCTGGTCTTTTAGATCTCTTCAATTTATATCTGGTCTTTATGGATCTATTCAATTCTGAATAGTTCTCATCTTCCTGGGTAAAATACAACCCAAACAGTGGCATTCGTGGCATTGGACATATTATTCACAATAACCAGCACTTCCATATGGCCAGGTCTACCATCAGTACAAGCTGCCCCTACAACTGTCAATCAAATCATCATGTGTGCTGTGACAACCAATCAGTACATACCTCATAGGCAGACTCCACCCACTTCTCTCTAGGTGTGTGCAGGAAGGTGACCAAGTTTTTCTCCTCTCTGGGCACAGACCGGGTCCTAAATAGTGACATTATACAAAAAGTTAAAACATAGTGCAAGATTAAACATTTTACATTTGTTTTACAGTATTTTATAATTTCACAAATGTATACATACTTATTTAAGATATAAATTTCAAAATATATATTACCAGCATTGTAAATAAATACTGTGCAAGTTTCTGGTACAAAAAAATGTTATGCAATATGTATTGAATATTAAATTCAAGAATGGAGAGAGAACAGCCTAATAAGAATCATATTAAGGTAGAGAGTATTACGTAATGGTAGTTAAGAGTGCCTCCTTACGTGTTCATCACATAGAGAGTCATGTGCATCAGGTAGGGGACGAGGTGCACATTGCTCTGGCGTCCGCCACCCCCACTGTCATCACTGAAGGATTTCTCCAGGGCGAACTTCAGTAACAGCAGCTTGAGGTCGTGTAAGGTGAGGGTATAGCTGGTGTCCCGCATCCCAGTACATTCTTGAAGATAGGAGTTGTGCCTGGAATAAGACAAATTATAACAAGATTGACACCAGTGATGATGATGTTGGTGATCTCCTGTGATGCTGCAATACCACTAGCAGCATCCCCCATCATGAAAATTACTCTGTAGGAATCTTACAGGACTTTATGGGACTCTATGGGAATCCTATAGGACTCTATGGGGCTCTATAGGAATCCTACAGGACTCTACAGGAATCCTACAGGACTATTGGAATCCTACAGGACTCTATGGGACCTTATATGAATTCTACTAAACGTCCTATAGGATTCCTATCTACAATGCTTCCTGTAGGACCCTATAGGATTTTGGCACAGTTTCCTATAGAAGACCTAAAGTTAATTTCCATTATTAAGGCTACAATTGCCACCAGTCTTTCTTCAGTCATCTGTGCTTTATACTTTGTTTTTTTTTTATCTGCCAGTCACATTTCACAGTATTCCTTTACCTATTAGGGTCCGTTTTACTTAGCAGCTTAGTGTAATGCATGTTTCTGTGGGCACTTGTTGGAATTGGGTTCTACTAATACTATGACAAAGTTCAAGTTGTTTTGTACAGGTGTACCCACTAGAATCTGAAGAACATGTCCAAACAAAGACCACCTAAATTGGGGGAGAGGGGTGACACCATAACCCCCCCCCCACCCTACCCCACCCCAGTTTGCATTGACAACTAGGAATGTATGAAGCTTAACAAGGTTGACATAGTGCAAAATAGATAAAACATACTCTATTCTAATCTAACCATACTTGATCGGCATTTTTTCACTTTGGAGAAATCCAGAATGTTTCAGGCAAACTGGCGAATTTGCTTTTGTTCAACTGTACATTTAAGACATGGCAAGTATGTGTAACCGAAACACGTTTTCCAACATGTGCTCGTCAATTAAATAATTTACACTATTTTTATGAGTTGTTCACACGTTATTAAGTGAAACGTCTTGCTTTTGTTTAAAATTAACATCTACTTGCTAATTAGGTGATGCCAGGATGCAACGAGTATCCTGTTTCACTTAATTTGTAGTTCTATGAATTAGATTAATTTCGCAAAAATGGAAGTTTATTATTTTCAAGAGTGTGGAGTACATTCTTAATCTCCAAGCACATGCCAGAAAACGTGTTTTGGCTACATATACTTGCTATGTCTTAAATAAATGTTTTAAAAATTCATGTAATCCAGTTTATTTGAAACTGCAAACTAAAACCAACCATCCAGTACATCTTTGATCAGACATCTTAGAAGTAATATGTCAACTTTTTACTTCCGCCAAGGTTGACTTAAGACAGGATTTTATTATCTTGGTCCCTACACAGTGTCCAAGACAGAAGTACCAAATCCAATAACAGCTTATCTTAGACTTCCTTCTCTCAGGTACAAACATGCACAAGCCCAAGTTTGGTGCAGACCTCTCACCTGGCCAAGGCTCCAGCGAAGGCATTCTCCAGAACCTGCGGCCCCCACAGTGGGAGGAGGCCGTTACACTTGGTGTTGGCATTCTGTAGGGCCGCGCTCTCCCACTCCTCACGGCCACGTGCATGTCTGGAAGACAAGATTCATTATACCTTCAAACTGTGTAAATGATATCTGTTTTAAACCATATTGGAAAATCTTTTCAAACTATTGTCATAATATATCATACAGATTTTCTTTTAGTGAAAATAGATGAAAATTCAGTCTAATATCAGGTGCCCAGAATGAAATATTAAGTAGTCTTACCATGAGTAACAAGCAAATGTTCTGCATGCATATAGATCAGTATCCCGAGTTGATGATACAGCTTTAAAGAGTACAGCATACAAAAATCTCTCTCTCTTTCTATCCCACCTGACAGCAAAATTATGATAGTGTACATAACTCCCCTCTCCCTCTCTCTCTCTCTCACCTGACAGCTGCATTATGACAGTCCACATGGATCACATTGAAGTGAGACACAGTGGAGTATCCCTGGCTCTTCCTCTGCTTGTTCTCAAAATCTTCCAAGTTAACACGCTTGGTGAATGTATAGATGGCCAACACCTGAATACAACAATCATAATGTTGATATACGAGGGTATAATTTTTGGTAGGTTTAAAAGATCAAAACCGACTCAACTAACAAGTTTTATCATTCTTACAGATAGGGTTGGAAATATGAAGAGGAACAAAGTACATCGCAAAAAATGAAGGCCTTATGACTAGGGGTTCTGGGGGGGTCCCTCGGGGAAAAAAAAAATCACAAATAAATGACTTTTAATTTCAATTAAATTATGTCTGGGGAGTATATTAACTCTCTTCTTTACCTTGGTGGGCTGATATCTGTACCCCTCTCTACATATACAACACGTCAGACCTGTCTCTTCCTTCAAGTCTTCCATCTGTTTTAGAACAGAGCTCTTCACAGTAACCTGGCCCTTCTCATTGGTCTGAAGGAAGGAAAAGATGTCAAATTTTGGCTTCATATATTTTTTTTGCAAATCTTACAGCAGCTGGGGAGAAAGCTGTGCAAGCACTCTCTGCAAGTGTCTATGAAATTCAAATTTAAGGATTTTTCTGAACATACCAAATGCAAATAGCTATATCAAAACAAAAGGCTGGAATATCTAAAGAGCATCCTTTTTGGCATGCCTTTATCTTTTACACATGGATATATAACCAGCTCTCTGTGTTTTGGGAAGCACAACATTTACATGCCCTTACATCAGGAATTGTTCCTTACGTAAATAATTTTATATTCTATTCAGAAAAATTTTCTCTCTTAAAAAATCTCAGTTAAGTCTTCTTTCATTTTTCATGTAAATTCTTCCCAGAAAATTTTGAATCAGACTATTCCAAGTCCACGTGAAGTGGTATATAGTAGTATTACCGTCATGCCCAATGCTCCCAGTTGTTTCTGTCTCATGGCCATAGCCAACCTCTTCTTCTCTCCCTTGGTCTGCTGACGAATCTCTCCAATCTGAAACACAGCGCAGATATTAAAATTCATTAAAATGTTTTTAAATCCATTAAAATATTTCTTTCCAATCTAAGTACAATCAGTATTGATCTAGATGAATGTGCTGTATCTTACTATTAAAAGAGATTGATTTATCAAACTGCTTTAGATAGAACCCAAATCTAGTTTAACAGTGGATTCTCAAACATAATCTTCTCTTCAACTTTTTCTTCACGGTGCACAAATTTGAAATACATATAAAAGACCTATATAAAAAGTATACTGGGGTAGTGCTAGCAAATTTTTTCACTTAGCCAAATCACCACATTTTTGTCAATTTGTTATCAAAATGGTTATTATTTGGCTAAAACATGTCAAATCAAGCCCTTTTTCTTTAGCCAATTTAAGTCAGTTTTAGCATTTGGCCAAATTGGTGAGTGTTAGTGCTACCCCAGGTATATAAATCTACTGTATATTGTGTGACCTTTGCTGTGTATGATATGTGTTACCTTAGCCAGTGCCTGCTGGTTTTCCTTCAGGGTCTCCATGAGGTTTTCAGCCAGTGTCCCAACTCCCTCCTCAGAGGACGCCTGCTCCAGCTTGTGCAAGATGGGGATCAGATCCCTGCTCACATAAGACTGTGGGATAGAAAGATGGCTTATTATTGCTTTTTGTTTTTTCACTTGATCAAAAAAAGTTTAAATAAATTGTTATTTTGAATAATTTTAAAATAACCATTTGAGCTCTGGTTATTAATTTAACCAAATATTGTTGGATAATGTACCCACCCTTTTTTATATATGCAGAAAAATTTCCCACTACATTACATATTTTTAAAAATCTTTGAAAAAACAATTTCAAGTTTCCAAACTTTTTTGGTTGAGTGTACAACCTAAATATCAGTGCACGTCTGTGAGTGGGCACATTAGGGAATGCTCTATGAACAAAAACAAGGACTTTACAGTATTCCAATTTTTTATATTTTCACCAGGGAAACAACCCAAACAGAAAGGGAAATGAAAGAAAATCTATTCATTAATAAGTATAAACCTACATTGAATAGATAAAAGCATTGGTAAAAGTAACAATTAAACACCCATTGTTACAGACGTCACATTTTAGCCTTTATGACATCACCTAGTAACAAATAAACAAAACCCCCTGAAGAAAGAAAGAAACCGGTCGGGGCAAAAAAGTTACTGTTCTTTTTTTCTTTTTATTATATATATATATATATATATATATATATATATATATATATATATATATATATATATATATATATATAAGTGATATATAAGGGCACACCAGGTGGTCTTGGAAGCTCCCTGCCTTTTTAACACAAAATTTTATTTGACATAAAAAGGCTGGGAGCTTCCAAGACCACCTGGTGTGCCCTTATATATCACTTAAAAAAGTGAAATTTTTAACCATGGTGAGAATTAACTTATTTAGGTTTCTTGCTAAAACCTTTGTGCCACAGATGATAGTTCTCAAATATCTACCAACTTAAATATGGATGATCAAACCACAGGAAGTTGTTCATTGACACAAATGACGAATCAATAATGTTTCAGGATAGAGATATGAACAGTGCTCTTCTAAAGTTATCATTTGATTATTAACTCCTGGAGTGCTCAATTAACAAGTTAAAATTTCTGGCTTATGCAACACTCGGCATATTATCACCTTGACTGTTAATCTAATTAACTACTTCCAGTGGTTATGAAAGCCAAATTGTTATGAAAATAGCAGTTGTTACGAAAGCCACCGTTGCTGTAGCTATTACGAAAGCCAGATTTCTATCACACCTGCTTGTTTGCTATAATTACCTGTGTCAGTTCGTGTCCTTTGCATAGCCCAGCCAGCAGTCTCAGCACATAACTCAGGCAAGGCTTGGAGTAGAATTCTTTCCAGTCCTCGGTATCAGTTCTAAAAAAAAAAAAAATAAATAAATAAACTGTGGACATCATAGTGGACAGATTGTTAAGAAAATACTCCGTTTTACAGACTACCATGCTGATCTGATCTGATCTGATCTGAACTTTGCCCTGACCGATATAATAATAATAATACTTTTTCATGTGTCATCACCGATGTGGTGTTTGACACACATTGATATTTTCTCAAAAATTTTGATTTTTGCTGGTGACCAAAGACATCTGGGAATTTTTAACTTGTCAAGGAAGGTCTTTTGTTGTCTGCTTGGGGCACTTTTGCCAGGTATTCTACCACTTGTAATAAAAATAATAATAAAAATAAAATAGTAAAAATATAATAAGAGCCAGGTCATTTTATCAAATGAAAGACTACTAGGGCAGCAGGTGGGGGGGGGGGGGGGGGGGGGTCCACCCTTGTTACCCCAAGATGGACTACAGTAATTACTCCATCTTTTCAATGGGCAAATATCATCAAACTTTTAGCTAGGTAATTTTATAATCACAAAAAAATTTGTAGTGCTTTTACTGCATGGAGAAGAACTATAAAATACCCCGCTTTTTAATTTTGTTGCTACCACTCAAAAGGAATGTTCTAATTTTAAGAATCTATGAATCTATGACTTAGAAAATACAGTGTCTTTAAAATTTATAATTTCCCCCTACTGAGAAGATTCAGCAATTAGGGCACTCTATCAAGGGCGGCAGATCGAAGTACTTACGCTAACAGTGTCTTGACCTGTGGCGCGTGCACCTGGATGTACTCGACCGCGTCTTTCACGATCTCGTGCTCTACTATCATGTCCTTTAGCTTGGTACCGTTGGCATTACTCTGGAAAAACAACAGAACATTTAAAACACATTTCAAATAGCAGATTTTCATTTAATTTTTTTTTTCAATTTTGTACAAAAACATTGGGGATTGGTAATACAGTATTTGGTTTTACTGGTGAAAGTACGCTACATTATATATGTTTTTTAATTTCATTTTCTTTTAGATAAAGTAATAATAACTTAAGCTTAATTAATGAAAAACCAGATATAACAAAAATTATGGACACATTTATTGTGCAGTGGACAGCACAGAACATCCTTACCTCGATTGCGTTAGTGATGACACAGAAGCAGTCCAGATGAATCTGCTCATCTTGAGTGTGCTCAAAGTCAAACCTAAAATACACATACAAGTCCAACATGGAAATGTACAAACTCCGAAGAGATGGAATTACAGGAATAATTGATTTTATAACCAATCCATTTAAACATTCAGATACAATGCACTAATAACCCAGAACAAATCAATATCATTATCTTTATATTACGAAGGATGAGGTAATTAATTTATCTGCAAATATAAATGGAAAAACTTACAAATAAGAAAGTTTTGATCAGTGACACAGTTTGGGATTTAACATTTCCTTTCATTTACATCTCTCGGACCCATCAGACAAAATACTGAGAGAAACCCCCATCTTTCCGTTTCTACTTACTTGTTAAAATTGACGTAAGGCTTGAAATGGTTCACCAGGGTTAACATCTTCTCTTCCTCTCCAAAGGCCAGGAAGGGAATCAGCCTCATCAGTCCCTGCAGTACGCTGGCATTGGCGCGCACAAAGGGGCTGTTGATTCTGTCCAACAACATCATCAGCTGTTTCTTCTCTCCACACAGCTTGGAGAATTGCTGAAATGTTCACAGGGCTAGTTAAAACAGGAAATCAATGTTTTTTTTTTTAATGTCCAATTCTTATCAAAAACAAAAATTTTGGTAAAATAAAAAAGAAGAAAATAAAACGTTTCATTTCAAATATGTTTGTGTCAAACAATGCTGACTTCACAATCATTCATATTTTTTTATTCAATGTCATAAATTAAATTTTAATAAGTTGCTTAATAATGTAACAATGTAGTGATCATTATTTCGTCTCCGGAATCTTTTAGGCTTGACATTTGCAGCTAAAGTGTGGTCATCCATTTACCTTGTACTCAGCAGGTGTTTGCTCACTGGCCTCCAGTAAAATGCCCTCCATGATCTGAAGGATCTGCTCTGTGATGGTTTGCCCCTTGGTGGTGCTAGTGCCATGTTCCTGCTCTGCTAGGAGAGCCTGAAAACAGAGAGAAAGGACACAATTAACAGCAGCATGTGCATTACAGAAACTGCAGCAGAATCTGAAGCAGCTTGAAGTGTTAAAAATAAGCACCTTTTTTTCAAAGCCTAATAAGTACCTTTTTTTAAAACCTAATAAGTACCTGTTTTAAGCTTGTGCTAGTGATACAGGTGGTCCTGATAAAATTTGCATACCACTTCTTACAAATAAGTTTGGAATCACAATTATATTGATTACTTTTTAACTAAAATATCTAAAAGATAACAACAGTCTTTTACATATCCTTAAATTTAGCAAAAAGGGAACTTCAAAATCCCACCCTCATTTTTATACAAACTTACCAAGTTCAGTGCTCCTAACATAATGCTGATGGCGTTCATCTCTGGCTTGATCAGCTGACCTCTGTTGACCTTGACCTTGACACAATAATTGAACAGTTTCAAGAGAACCATCATCAAGCTCTTTCCTGTAGTCAGATCCCTAATGGCTGCCATCCTTTAAAAAAATTTGTTCAAAGATCAAAATGTTATCTGGCAACGACATATAAAATAACATGATATATTTATCCTACAAAGTAAGAGTCATATAATGAAATGACAATACGTAAATTCCACTGAAGTACCCTCTAACAACAGGTAAGCAACATGTTAGCCGACCTGAAAAGTGGACCTGCCTGTACTTGAAAACTGGACCTGTCTGTACTTACCTCTGCAACATGACCTCCAAGCCGCCACACTTGGCCATCACAGCAGCCATCTTGTAAACCTCTTCACTATCTACGTCTTCATCTGAAACAAAAGACACTCTCCACATGAGCAAGTTACACAATCTGTTCACATTTAATAGAAAACCAGCACTATATGTTTCTCAAACAGAAGCACCATTTGTTATATTTAAGGATTTTTTTCTCAGGGTTCATAATAAAACTTTCATCTCTGGCTTGATTAGCTGACATGATACAAAATCACTGAATAATTGTCCCGTCTTTCTCCTTCCCTGTGGATTTTCATATCTTCACAATGACCCTGTGCCCTACCTCCACTGGTGTCCAGTGAGTTAACCATGTCTTCTGTAGCATCTCCCAGCAACCCTCTCATCCTGTAGACAACCCTCATGGGCTCATCCTACAACAAACATGGTTCAAATCAGCCACAAATAGGGTATAGTATAAACATGATGAATGGTTTTTCCTTTGTGTCAGTTCCAAGTTTCAGGAAAGAGTCTAAGGTGAAGACTGAAGACTAGCAAAGATCAAAATATTGAAATGCCTTGTTTTATATTGATAAAGTATGTTATGAATCTCAGTGTATAACTTGTTTAATATTGGTATAAGGTATGTTATAAATTTCAGTGTTTAAGGCCAACAATTTTCCTAATTTTACCTTTGTCGCCTAAGAGCTGAACTATGACAGCATACATGTATATAAATCTCTCTCTTTCTCTCTCTCAATTCCTGAAAAATCTAAATCACTTTTAAACCAACTGTCATGCCATTACCTCAGAATGATTGGTGAGCCAGATCTTCTTATAGACATCCTTTACAGGCAAGTCCAGACTGACTATCTTGTTATTCACCAGTAACTGCAATACCAGAGGAGAAAACTGTTATGTATATTCAAGCTATATCAGTCTAAGAAGGCATCAATATAAACAAAAAAAAAATCCTGGACTATTTTTACCAATTCTGACATACTGAATCTTAACCGAATATATATCTTTATGTACATGTATATTGTTAAAGGGATAATAACTCTTCGTATGAGATCTATATTTCACAATAAAAACATTGTGAATAACTCATAGAAATAAAATATATTCTGTTTTACCACAAAAACGGCAGTTATAGCGATTATTCTGATATCTGAGCTTGTCTTTAGATCACGTGACCTCCATTGATGGCTATAAGAGATTTTAACAAAAAACCAAACTTTTTAGAAAAAAACCAGGGACTAACTTTGAATGTAAAAATGGATTTATTAACCATTGGTAAGTATGGGAAAATTTTTGTTTACTCCAGGAAAATTCATTTTTTGGCAGAAACGAAGAGTTATTATACCTTTAAGTTGAAAGTTTTATTTTTTCAAATCAAGCTGACACCATCTTACCTCCATCCCTGTGTCATCTTCCAACAGAGCAACCAGCTCACAATCTGGAAGAGAAGAAAAAATCCACTTAATACACATCTTTGCCAAGATCTTCTGTAAATTGGGCACATTCATCCACTGTAAATTTGACAAAGAAACTGTGAGTAACAGTGCTGTAATTGTTCCAATTTCTGAATAATTTAAACACTGAGGTCATTGTGATGATATTCAGTGTAATTGAGCTTTATTTCCTTGTTTTCTGATTGATTGACCCTTACCTTGACAAATCTTGTTTTTGACATCTCTCATAAGAGGACCAAGTCCCGGCTCATTGGACGTGTATGGATTTCCCAGCATCCTCCCCTGCAGAAAGTCCTCCTGTTGCGGGTCTTTTTCCAGAGACATGAAAAACTCACTCACATCATTTTCCTCCTAAGGAAACCAAAAGAACACCAAAATGATATTTATACAAATGTATCTCACACTTCAATTATCATAACATGTGATGAGAAACAAAGATCAAAGAAAACAAAAAGAACACGAGAGCAAAAGGTTAAGTTGAGAAAGAGGAAGCAACTGAGCAAAAACATCCTTGCTTCATATCCTTGTGCAACTGATACACACATCAGTGCATAAATGTCTGTGCATGATAACACATCAGAGATACAGCAACCACATGTCTTCAACTCACCGGATATATTATACTCACCGGATATATTATACTCACCGGATATATTATACTGCACAACCTTTCAAAGATGAAGACAGGAGACCTGAGATCACTGAGACTGTACTTCTTCACCGTGTTGATACAGACGGCCATGAACTCCTTGGTCTCCTCCTCCGTCCCCGTGGTCATCTCCTCCAGGAGTTCCAGCAACTTGTCCTGCGTCTCATCGATCAGCTTGGTTCTCTGGACCACCAGCTTCCTGAGGGACAGGTAGCCATTGAGGACCGTCCCTACCAGCTTGCTCTTGTAGTGCTGCTTGATGCTCTCCTCTTCAACGAAGGAGGACAGCAGACCTGGAACCATGTCAATCAATGTATGTTGCCCTTGGTAACAAGTTGCTCAGAAACAATGAAGCAGTTTGTTGCCCTTGGTAACAAGCTAGCCAGAAGCAGTAAAGCTGTTTGTTGTATGGGTGTCAATTCAGTGTTGACCCTGTTATTTTTCAATACTATTTCAAGTGTTTTCAACACAGGAGGGCACCACGATTTATAAATAGGATGGATATTTGAAATACATGTTGGTATTCAGCCTGGTTTAAAGCAAAAATCCTTTATTCAGAGGTTATCTACGTCACCAGTAAGCGGAGTCCATTAGCAACTACACTGTATGAATGAGTCTGAATTCAACAATTATGTACATATCAGAAAAGTTTACGAGGAGAACACAAGTTCTTATGTCAAACCTGTGAGTGCCTTCAAAGCAAATCCTTGGGATAAGTCTGAGCTGAGGGTGGTCTCCTCCAGCACTGACAGGTGGTCAATTTCCTAGCAAATAAACAAAAATACACTTCTTTTAAGCACATGGTTATCATATCAATATGGGACTTTTAAAATGTGTGATGAAGAATTGTATTTGTATTTTTAATTTTCAACTGTAGGAGAGTTTTTTTTCTTAAGGAAATTTCAATTTGGCATGACATCCCATAAAGAATATTTTGATAACATTCTGTAGAGATATGACCTGTTTACCTTGGCTATCAGCTCTCCTATGTGTGGCAGCAGTCCCTTAATGGCCAGATAGTACTTCCAGGTAGAGGGAGCTATCAGTCTCTTGTACAGGGCCAGGAATTCATTGGCACTCTCTCCCACAGTGCCCAAGTCATCCAGATAGCTGGGAAATGATGTAAGGTAGCATGACAGATAAAGGATGAAACTATCAACCAGGAAATCATTGTCTCTCTCTATATTTTTCTCTTACAATACACAGATTACTAGAATAATCAGAATGTAATACTTAAAGAATGAAATATTCAGCTAAAATTTTCATTGCAAAACCAAAGTTGACGATAGGTGAAATCTGAAAGTTTGCCAAATTGTCCAGCTGACGGTCAGAATTCTATCAGGAGATACATTTTTATGAGGAGTAAAACTAGTAATTTTACAATATTTCTAACTCTGCGGATCAACTAAAGGAGTGAAAATATCAACTTTCACAAAAACATTAAAAAAATTCTGAAATTGCTGACTACAGGCTTGGTCATCTTACCTGGTAAGCACTTTCAGCATCTCCTGGCGCCTGCAGGGGTTGACACAGATGGTGTCCACAATGTTGCAGGCTGTCTGGCGAGTGGAACGAGAGGATGGACAGAAGATGGCCTGACACAGCCAGCTGTCTGTTGGGAGGGTCATCTGCCTGGTGGACATGTCACCTGGAAGTAGAGAATAGGAGTTTCAATATTTATATAGACTCTAGGGTTTTTTTTTTTTTTTTTTTTTTTTTTGCAATGAACAATTTATATCAATGAAGACAAGTTAAATTGAGACAGGAAGTTGGATCTAGTCAAATTTACGTGAAAAGTTAGCCATCAGAGAAAAAAATCCTTTGTTTAATTATTATTTAGTATTTTATCCTTCAAACAGAATGGTGTTATTTGAAATCTAATAAAAACAAAATAAAATTAAAGGTGTGATTAGATTACTTCAAATATGGAGCCACAATATTGGAAAAACTGGAAAAAGGCAATTAATAAATGAGAGTGCAGAAATGCAAAATGTTGGTTAGCATGGACCCTCAATACCAACCACGACATACCTTTCTTAACTTTATTCTTCCATCTCGTCCCGTATTTCTCCATAAGGTAGCGCACCTTGACCCTCCGAACCTCCTCCTTGTCCACCTTACGTCCAGTCTTCTTTTCCTCCTTGTCTGCATCTTTACCATGACCCTCCTTCTCTTTCTTCTTTTCATCTGACTTTTCTTTTTCTTTCTCCTTTTTCTTTTTTGGAGTGGATTCTGGAACTACACAAATAAAAGAGTACAAAAGACTTTCCCATAATTTTCATCTGTACTATTTGTGGTGTGTCTGAGAAAGAAATGCCCATAAAGCTGTACATCTCCATGCCTAGAGGTACTCAATAGAAAAACTTCCACTTTATTGTCTTATATGTGATACAGTCTAAGTGTTACAGACTACCACATTTGTGAAAAGCACACTGCACTAGTAACAGAATTATATATGAACTGTATAGGCAGTTGGACAGCAGTGGAAACTGAGTGGGTACCTTACGGGTAGTGACAATAAAGCTGTTTAATAACTATCAAGATGTCCCTTTTTTTTGCATTACAACTCAGACATAACATTCACAGACTATATCCTATTAGATCTATTTCAAACTCCTGTCCATCATGTATCTAAATGCTTTATTTGTGTTACATTTATTAGCTAGATGTAGTTTACAGGGACACATAAAAGCATGGAAATATTACCTGACAAACTATCTGAAATGGTTAATAGAACTTTTACAAAAAAAATGGAACATGAAAGGACAAACTATCGTCCAGCGTACATACTGTCCCCCCCCACCCCCATCAACCCATCCCCAAAATAACCTTGGCCTTGCACTGTTTCATAACATTTTACCAGAAACTGATAACTATTCTATCTAAAGTGGAAAGTGACTAAACTTCAAAACGCCTTAATTAATGTATCTTTAAACTAGCCCAAACAAGACGCGGTGTCGGTTATAAAAGCCACCATCTACATCCTGTCTTAGAATCAGCCCAGCTGACCAACGACTGCTGACCAACGACCACCATGAGACAATTGGCCGTTCTCTGCCTTTGCTTTATCTTTGTCCACTCACTGGCCAGTGCACTGCCAACTGACCAGGAAGAAAATGGACAAGACGAGGTCCTGGAGAGGCTGGAAAGATTGGAGAGAGAACAGGACGCACTGGTCAAGGAAAATGAGAAATTAATGGTAAGGGAATTTTTTTTTTCAAACAATTCTTGATCAAAGATTTGTTTTTGCCAACATTACAGACTGTCAGTTACAGTTGTGTGTTCTTTTTTAAATGGGTTTTGTGTATGATTAATAAGCAGAATGAGGTACCTGTCAATTCCTGCTGTATATCTGACCATTTTCATGCAAGATTCATCTTACACAATTATGTCTGGATTTACCTTTTTTAATAAAATGTTTTATGCAGACCTTTCTGTCTTTCTTTATTGTAACCACCACTCAATACCAACATTCTTATTTTAAGAATTTATGACTTAAATAATACAGTATCTGTAAAGTAGTTTTTTCCATTGAAAAGATTAAAACATTACAGTTACAGTACTGTAGTTATTTAAATGTTTAACTCAGGACCTTCTGAACAATCTGGGAGAGAGTCTGCCAGAGCCAACTGCAGAAAGAATGAGAAGGCAAGCTCCTCCAGATGTCCCGCCTACCACTGACAGTCCAGGTAAAGTACATACAGTATAATCTGAGCGGCTTGTATATTATTCTACATTTTATTTCTTTGATGGTAATTCCATAATGTCGCACAAGGAGATGTTATGTCACTGTCATGCTATGCCACATAATTCGAATGTCAAAACACAAAGAAAGTAGATAATGCTTTTCAGATAAGGCCAGAAAAAATTGATGATTTGGTTATAATGAAGGGGCCATCCAACTCTAATTTTGAGAAAATTTGAAATATTTCACACCTCTTTTTTTGCACATGCAAAAATAATACTGGGCATTGTTTTGGTATGCTAGTTAATCAATGTACGATTAAAAACAAAGATCAATTTGAACTATGGACCCTATTTATTGATAGCCATAGTTCATTAACTAACTTATCAGTATTGGCTAGTCTAAAATTAAGTTTTTAACCATTAGATTACACTCTGGGCATAAGTACAAATTGAGAAAAATAATAACATTAATCCAAGTGCCTATAAGAAATGCTACTGCATCATCTTCAATATAGCTTCTCAATTTATCAGCAATGTTACTGATCCAGGTAAACTGAAGTACTTAAAAGCAGTTGTTTGAATGGATGTTTGAACCTTATCACACTTCAATAACATTAATTTAGCACACTGTTAGTGTTTTTCTATAAATTGGTTTTAGATTCTGAAGATTTTGGAACTCTAAATTGCATTTCTAAATACATAATTGATAATAAAAATTAGTATAATTACTTCTGTTTGGGTTCTAGCTATGTAAAATGTAAATTGGGGATTAATATTATTTTATAATTTCCCAGATTGTCAGGGTACCTGCTGTGTGAGGGGACCACAGGGTCCTGCAGGCAGAGATGGAAGAGACGGGATACAAGGTGTTCAGGTATATACAAAGTCATTTCTTATTTACTATATTTTCCTTTTTATTTTAAATTTAAAATACTACCACGTAAAAAAATCTGAATCATGCATTTTGTATTTTTTACTGTTCTTCATTCAAAAAAAAAAAAAAATCCATCCTAATAAAGAAAAATAAGCTCCTATTAGGATCACTTTTTTATCCATAATACACCTGTCTTTCTATGGTCTGTTTTTCTATGGTCTGTATTTCCCAGGGTCCTGCAGGGCCTAGAGGAGCACCTGGTCCCTCTGGGACTGCAATCACCATGGAGGACCTGCAGAAAATACTGGCACTGCTCAAAGGAAAACAGGTCAATGTGTTGAAAGGTGATTACTTTGCACATTTACTTTGTATGTCATATTCAAAATATTCAGAGTACTGTTATCAACAAATTGTCATTACCAAAATTTGGATTTTAAAACAGCAAATGGCTGTTTCATATGATTATTAATCTTTGATAAGTCTTTGTGCTGCTTCTGACATTAACTAATAGATATGGAACTGCTATTACTGTGAGAGAAGTCATGTTCAATATACTATTTCTGTTTCCCTACAGAACTGACTGGTACAGGGGATGGTCAAGATGGCGGCACGGGCCTGGGGGCAGGGACAGGATCTGGGGGGTCAGTCTACACCCGCTGGGGGCGGTCCTCTTGCCCTTACACAGCTAATCTCATCTATGAAGGTATGTGACACATACAACTTGGATATTGAGAGACTTTTTTACCACAGACAGCTCTACAGGCTGGCTTGGAAATGTAATCTTGGCATTTTTTTTTTTTCAATTTCTTCTTCAAATATTCAATAATATTCAATAAAATGACAAAATTTTTTTCCAAAACATAATCACAAATACTACAAGTAAATCATACAAAACTTCAATGACGTTGTCCATTTTTAGGAGTTATGGGAACCTCCTACTACAGTCATGGTGGAGGAAGTAACTACCTCTGCCTGCCTCGTGACCCATCATGGCTGAACTACACTGATGGTTTCCAGACGTATGCCCGTATGTATGGCGTAGAATATGAAGTGAACGTCATGCCAGATGATTTCTTCTCCAAGCAGAACATTCCTCCTGGCATTAAATCCCTCCATGACCAAGATGCCGTCTGTGCCGTCTGCCACACCCCAGGGCGCCCAACCCAGCTGATGATTCCTGCCAAAACCTCCTGCCCAGGGGACTGGCTGATGGAGTATAAGGGGTACCTTATGGCGGAGAGCAAGAACCACCAGCGTACAGAGTACATCTGTGTGGATGAGGTGCCAGAAATCGATAGTGCAGGGATGAAAGACCAAAATGGCGGGCTGCTATACAATGTAGAGGCTGTCTGTGGGTCTCTTCCATGCCCTAATTATGTTGATGGTCGCGAATTGGCATGCGTTGTCTGCACATTGTGATTTAATTTCAGAAGGCAAATAAGAACTAATTAAGATTGCAAATGCTGTTTAAATCAATAAAACTGAAAAAAAATATCCTTCATAATATGCTTCAGTAAAAAAAATTAAAATGGAGACTAACCTCAAATCATCTATACAAGTACACTTAATCATTAAAATCTTTCAAGAATAATTTAAAATTCTAAATTCTTTCTCAGTTTGAATAAAATACATCACTTCTCTGTATACACACCAGTAAAGTTTCTTCGTGCTTTCAAGTATCCATGGTATCCAAACAAGTTATTTGTTAGCAATAATGAAAATAAACTTGATTTTGAAACATAATTACTGTTTGAATATTTTTTCTTTTGTATAGCATGCTTTCAGATGTGAATGTGAAGACATGTCACTCACTTCAATATTTCATCAATACAAATGGCATATATTTCATTATAAGTTACACTTTCTGGCATAATGCCAACTTTTTCATCAAAACATCATTTTCTTGTATAATTCCAGTAAATATGATAACTGAATTTGCATATGAATTTCCAATCCATACACAAAATACATGAATAAGGAGCATCGCACTTTTTCAAGTGATGTATTTTGCACAGATTCATCCCAGTCTTGAAGGTTCAAGATGAAATCATATTTGACCTAATTCCAAGCACTCCAATAGTAAGCATAACTACATTTTAAAAAATTACGTAGGGACTGGGCAAAAAATGTTCAAAAATGAAATCCCTTGGCTTACATCAATCTGATTAAGGCCATCTCCAGGTTGGCCATTAGCTAACGATATGGAAGTTTTTTGGCTCGTGTTTGATAATTTACATTTATCATATAGGAACTACAGTTACTATCAGTCTATTCAGAGTAAACATCTGACTAAATAAATAACCTCCAGTTATCACCTATGCCTGTCTCAGCTTGGTAAATAGCAAGACAAAAATCCAGGACCTGGCGTCACACAAGATCTTTGGTCCAAAGTTGGTTTTAACTTAAAGATTTTAAATTCAAGTTGTCTTCAACCTAGGCTAAACCTGCATTTGTTCAATAAAATAAAGTTGCCACTGGTCTCAAACGTTAGATTTTTCATATCTTATAAAACGGGTCCAATATCTTCATTTAAGTGGACTAAAACAGATATATCTTTGGTAAAAGTAGGCTATATTTCTTAGTCTTGGACTGCATTCAGATAAACCCACCATACCAGCTAGATTGATCCAAATCTGTGGGGGATTCTCATTAAAGTGCATTCAGTGTAGTCAGCTTAACTGTCTGATAGTCCTCTCTGTGTAGCTAGTTAATAAGCCAGACATATAAGCCGATTACAGTGTTTGCACTTTGGGAGAATCTTCCGCTGAGTTGGATCTATCCAGCTAGTGCGATGGGTTTATCTGAATGCCCCCTTTACGCTAAGTCCAACTGTCCACATAACATCTTTAGTGGCACCAGCCCCAGTATTAACCCTGGATGCCAAGCAGACTGAGCTCAGTCTTACTGGCAACCCATCATGTATCAAGTAGCTTATATCTGCCTCTGTCTTCTCTCTGTCCACCTGATGGTCAGTGCTGTGCCAACTGACCAGGAGGTCAATGGACTGAGTGAGGTCCTGAAACGGCTAGAGATAGTGGAGAAAGAACAGAGAGAACTGATCAAGGAAAACAAACAGCTAAAGGTAGCAGATTCAGATTATTACCTTGATTTGGATGCATTTCAGACAGCCCAAAGCTTTGCAACTTACTATACACTAAAATCAAGCACTGAAAAAAATCTAATGGAATTTACCAACAAAATTTTCTAATTGTTTTTACTGAAGTTCTGCAGAATTACACCTTTTTTTTTTAAACAACAGTACTTTCTCCATCAACATTTCTTATTTGTATTCATAATGACATCCAAGGACAATTGTTTTATAATATTCAACTATTCCTAGGGCCTCCTAAGTACCCTGGGAGATAATCAGCCAGTTGTGGAAAAGAGAACTAAGAGACAGGCTTCCACAGACCAAGTTCCACCTAAAACCAATAGTTCAGGTACAGTACTTCTATAACTTAAAATGTTATCTCTTAACTACTATTTTTCCTCTGGTCAAGCGAGTATCCTAAAATCTTTTTTAGCAATACAGAGGTTTCTATTCCAATCAAGTCAAATACTAGGGATTAATATCATTTTATAATCCGTCAGATTGTCAGGGTACCTGCTGTGTGAGGGGACCACAGGGTCCTGCAGGCAGAGATGGAAGAGACGGGATACAAGGCATTCAGGTATATAAACAAAGTCCTTAATTACTATATTTTCCTATTATTTTGGAATTTAAAAATGTATATTTTGAAAAATACCTAGCATAAAATATCAATTCTGAATCTTTGGGCAAAATACCACCAATGACCACTGTCAGAAAAAATGTCTGAATAAACTTTTTGTACTTGTTTATGCTTATCAGTCAATGAAAAACAAAGCCTATCTTGTTGAAGATAAAAACTCCCATCAGAACTATTTTTTTACACCCATCTATTGTCTGTATTCCCCAGGGTCCTGCAGGGCCTAGAGGAGCACCTGGTCCCTCTGGGACTGCAATCACCATGGAGGACCTGCAGAAAATACTGGCCCTGCTCAAAGGGAAACAGGTCAACATACTGCAAGGTAACTGCAATAACTTTCTCTTACTGTTTACCACCAAATTATATATTTTATATCATACCTTGAAATTTTGCTTAAGTATGCACCCTATGAATTTTAAACAATGTATAATGTATGAATGGCTTTTTCTTATCAAAGGGCAAGACTTTTGAATACTAACTCCTAGGTTTGTTCAAATCTTTGCATTTATTTTCATGCAATTTCTGTTTAGAGCTGACAGGTACAGGAGAAGGAGGAAATAACCCGGGGGCAGGGACAGGATCTGGAGGGTCAGTCTACACCCGCTGGGGGAGGTCTTCCTGCCCTTACACAGCTAGTCTCATATATGAAGGTACTGACATTGCATTGTTCCATGACCATGAAAAGGTAACACTGATAACACATAAATTAACAAATCTGCAGACAACTGAAAATATCAGAGAAAGATATCAACTGGTATTTTTAGGTTCATAACGTTCTGAAGTGTTAAGAGAAGTTTTGATTCCTTTTAAGGTGTCATTGGTGGCTCTTACTACAGTCATGGTGGAGGAAGCAACTACCTCTGCCTGCCTCGAGACCCATCATGGCTGAACTACACTGATGGTTTCCAGTCATATGGACGCATGTATGGCGTAGAATACGAGGTGAGCACGTTGCCAAATGATTTCTTCTCCAAACAGAACATTCCTCCTGGCATTAAATCCCTCCATGACCAAGATGCTGTCTGTGCCGTCTGCCACACCCCAGGGCGCCCAACCCAGCTTATGATTCCTGCCAAAACCTCCTGCCCCGGGGACTGGCTGATGGAGTACAAGGGGTACCTTATGGCAGAAAACCACGGCCACCAGCGTGCTCAGTACATCTGTGTGGACGACATGCCAGAGATCGATGCTTCAGGGAAGGGCAACCAAAATGGCGGGCTGCTGTACAACGTAGAGGCCGTCTGTGGATCTCTTCCGTGTCCTAATTATGTTGATGGTCGTGAACTTGCATGTGTTGTCTGCACAATGTGATTTATGTCTGACTCATCAACTTTTGCTAAGACGGATCAAGTATGACAACCAATGATTGTTCAATGTAATGAAATTGAATAATTTTCCCCCAACTGATATTTCTGGTATTTCTGAGAACTCTTATGCATTTAATCAATCAAAATATGCTAAAATAGATATCAGCATTTATAAGAATAATATCATCAAAATAAATCTGAACAAAGCATGTGGTGTCTATTGCTGTATTCTGTCTTGTCATGCAACTTTCAATTTCCACCTATTCCACACTTAAAAATGTCTCCTAGGATAACTGATCAAGATATATGCTCTAAGACAGCTAATAGCATATTCAACTGTCTTGTAACCACATGGAAACATGACAACTTTTCTTTTATTGATTTTTTTCCAAGTTGTATTGTAGAGTCTACTGAACAAATTTGGATTTTAGACTCTAAATAAATATTATAATAATAACATTATTATTAATATTATTATTAAGAGAGAACACCGACTCCAGAGACTTAAACGACATATCAGGTTATTAGTTACTTGGAACAGTGCTTCCCCTAATGGTGGACCACCACCAGGGTGGGTACTAGTTACTGAAAGGACATCATTTACATCTGAGTGGAGCAATACTGACCAGTCTACAAGACTGTAGTGTTGATGTCACATCACTTTTATCCTATGTGTACATTCTGGTATTAATGGTTGATCTGGTAAAATAGGGAGAGAGTTGGTTATGCATTTTGGTCTAAAACTGATCTACAGTATAGAGAGTTCCAGTAAGTTCTGGTATTAGTTAAACATATTTCTTGTTCTAATTCTACTGGATGACTAAAAACAATCCCTCAAACATTCACTTCAACAGATAGATGTGTGTCTAAATACCATGGACAAATCGCTTAACTGACCTGGGTCTATCACTGTAAAGGAGGCCTCTCTAAGTTTTTACACTGCTAGCAGGTTTGTGGGGTATTATGTCCTATCCATCAGAAACATCAGGCATTAGTGTTTGTATAGAATAATATCAAATATCTACTTCATTTGACTGACCCAAACAGTGGCTTAAAATTAGCCAGGTCCCTGGACACTAAAAGCCAAAACAAGAGAATTAATTCCTGTTACTGTGACATGCTTATACACAATCCAAAACACAGCTTATCAGACTGTCAGCCATGACACTGATCCTGATAAACAGGAGTCTTAACCTTGATTACTCTCGGAGGTCAGTATATCTCTGCCACACTACACATGCATCTGCAATGTTTGATCTCATTATGTTGTTCGTATACACCACAATTGGCTGCTGCTTTTAGGGTATTTTGTCATACTCTTCAAGAATTTAACATTTTCCTCATCAGAAGTTTAATTCTGCATTCTTTTCAATTTCAAGAACATTGTCAGAATTGGCAGTAAATGCAGGAACTGAATAAACAAACCTTAGAAATAGATAACCTGCTATGGGTTTACCAAGCTTAAAGCAAGGGATGCACCAGCTTAAAGCAATAATAACTCTTCGTTTGGCCAAAAAATGAATTTTCCTGGAGTAAACAACAATTTTCCCATATTTACCAATGGTTAATGAATCCATTTTTACATTCAAAGTTAGTCCCTGGTTTTTTTCTAAAAAGTTTGGTTTTTTGTTAAAATCTCTTAAGAGATTTTAACAGAGTATAGACATCAATGGAGGTCACGTGGTCTAAAGACAAGTTCAAATATCAGAATAAAAGCTATAACTGCTGTTTTTGTGGTAAAACAGAATATATTATATTTCTATGAGTTATTCACAAGGTTTTTTATAGTGAAATATAGGTCTCATACAAAGAGTTATTATGCCTTTAAATAGCTTAAATAGCTAATGTTGAGAGTTTACAAAAATTTCAACTAAGCGTTTTCAACTAATCATCGAATCAATTATCATCCATGGCTGCCAAATTAAAACCTTGGAAATCTTTTACATGATAAGATCAGGTGTGAAGTAGAAAGGATAAGATCCCATCCCTTATCAAATTAATTTTCCCAAATATTTAAAATAAGACATTTATAATTCAGGCTGTAGACACATGGTGGACAGGATTCCATTGGTTTTGTGTACATAATGACAATATCTCAGTACAGACCACTGTCATGCGTTTACATGTCCAGCCTGTAACCCCCGAGTGTGGAGGGGGGAGGGGGGAGGGTCAAAATTAGGACTGGTAATCATGAAACAATAAGAAAATCTAGTGAAAGGAGCACTAGATTGCTCAACAATAAACACAGTAAAAATAAAACAGTTTCTGTCAATTTGAATACAACTGCACTCAAAAAAGTGCACATAACTGGATATCTATACAAATTCCAACTGCTTTCCAATCAAAACTTTTCCAAACTGATGCATTTTTCCAAGATCACCTGTATATTATATAAGAACCAGACAGGGTCTTACCTTTGGCAGGCTGTCCCTGTTTCCAGGCAGTGTAAGAGCAGGCCCGTTCTCCCTCCAGCCACCCCCTGGCATGTGCTCTTAACCCTGGGATATCAGTACGGACACTACTCAGGGCCTCCATGCTCTTATCCTGGGATACATGGAGAGAAGTTAACATATTATATATTATTTTTGTTGCTGTGGATATCTTATCAGTTGATTTAAAATTTAAAACTGTTTGAAACCCTAAGTGGCAAATATAATGATTAAGTAAAAATATAAAATAAATAATTATAACAAATAAATTTGCCTATGTATCAGTTTGTTTATCTATTTATCTAATTCATTCATTTATTCATTCACTCATTCATTTCTAAATCCATTTTGCAAAATAAAACCTATTATCTTGTCCAGCATGGCATATACCATATCTTCTTATTACCTTGTTTTTCTTGGATGTGGGGGGTTCAGGTTTAATCAGAGACTGCAGTATCTTCAGGCAGGGCAGGGTGACATTCTCCATCACAGTGGGGTTCTTAATCTCCATCCCCAGCAGAAACAGTTTCAACACTAGAAATACACAGAAATCAGGACATTAAATCTTATCAGATTTGTCTTTACTGAGATGCATTTGACTAAACATTTTTTTAACTTAAAAGTGGAAATGGAAGAAAAGTTGCTATTATGTTTTTTTTTTATTTTAACTTATCAAATCAATTAAATCATTATGAAAACTTCTAAAATTGATGTCAACCTAGAGTTTTTTTTTTTTTGCTTTATAATCTTGCCCTACAATCTTTTACTATACACTCCTCTACTCACCAGCACTAATCCTCTACTCACCAGCACTAAGCACTTATCCTCTACTCACCAGCACTAATCCTCTACTCACCAGCACTTATCCTCTACTCACCAGCACTAATCCTCTACTCACCAGCAACTAATCCTCTACTCACCAGCAACTAATCCTCTACTCACCAGCACTAATCCTCTACTCACCAGCACTAATCCTCTACTCACCAGCACTAATCCTCTACTCACCAGCACTAATCTCTACTCACCAGCACTAATCCTCTACTCACCAGCACTAATCCTCTACTCACCAGCACTAATCCTCTGCTCCCAGCATTTGTCTTCTTTCTGGATGGTGTTTGCCAGCAACATTATCTCATGGCGCACCAGAGATCCCTAGGGGAAGAGTTAAAGTAAAATCTAGACAATTTTCACAGTTCAGGAACCAAAAGAGTTTTCTGATAGCTTTAATTGCTAATGTCCATGGGAAATTGACTTTTTTTTATTTATGTTACTAAAGATATTTCTTCTACTATCTATCTCAAATTTCCCTTTTCAATATTGTCTTATTTATTCAGTTACAATAAAACATTGCATCTCTTTTGGAAAATTGCTTTCGTTGCTGTTTACACAAAACAAAGCACACAAGGATGGAAAAATGGCTCATTTCCTAATTTTTTCAACTTTCTTAATATCTATTATTTCAAAGTAAAACCACAGTCTAAGCAGTCACATACCAGGTCCATATTGGGCAGATAATTCTTCATAGCAGACATAATTCTTCCACAGAGGATGTTATTCAGGTTGTAAGTGGCTTCAGGGTTGTCCTTGGTCAGGAGACAGACCAGCTGACGGACATCATTTCTCATCAGGAGGGAGCCCCGACGCAGGTTGTAGTTCACCAACTCCTTGATCAGGCCCTGAAAACAGAAAACAACAGTGTGGTACAAAGAACCAATAACAAAGAAATGTCTAAATCAATGCTTATGGAGTTCTTGACCCGTAAAAATAATCTGTCAACCTGTCACAGCAGCTCCACACAACAGGCATCAGATGGTGACTCTACTAACAACTAGAGCAGCGCAGTGTATTGTTTGGTGCACAGTGAAATAAAAGCCTGTAAATAGCACCAACAATAAACATAACTGTCTTACCTCTTCGCACAGTATCTGCCTGAGCTGTGGGTTGGTACTGAGTGCTCTAAGCAGAGTAACGCAGTGCTCCACAGCAGAACTGGAACATCCATAACACTGGCCGGACGCCATCAGCCGCAGACTGGAATTATGGAGCATCATAGCAATAACAATGGTCTCAAACATTAAATCTTTGACCATAGCACCCAGAAAGCACAGGCCTCTGCTGATGCAAAGCAATTCTCAAAATTGATAAAATTTCATTAAATAAATCAATAAATCACCACCAAAATCTAATCAATCTAAGTAAGGATTTCTGACCTATTCCTAATTTTTTATGAAAATTCCTCCATAACTTTTTAAAGATAGGCTGTTAACTAACAAACCAACAAAGGCAAAAATTAAATCTCCCTGGTTGAGGTAATTTTGGTCCATTCACCAATACCTAATTCAGCAATGTTTCTACAACAATGCTGATTCATAAAATTTTTTATAACACAATACTTTCAAATGCTCACTTTTGATATCTATATAAAAACTTCTACACCAAACTGTTAAATATTTTTAGTAATGAATAACTATAAAATCTTCTCCATCATGACACTTACCTTTGTCTCATCACAGGCTCACAGGGGGCGCCATCTTCATCATGTGACCCCAGTCCAGTCTGCGCCAGGGCAACAGTGGCAGCCTCTTTTTGCTGCCTGTCATATTCTACCAGCTCTTTACGTGATGCCAACACTTTCTATAATAAAGGAAAACTATGTCAGAATAAGGCAGATAAGAGGATATAAGTATGGCACAGCATAAGTATCTGTGAGAAGTTTCCATACTGACCTGTACTACTACAACATACAGTTACCCGTCTTATCATTTAGCTCCAATAAACGGTGTTTTTTTTAACTTTCCATAAAAAAAAACTCATATCACTAACAATGACTATACATCCCTATCCTTTCAAATATTTTCCATATTTAACACATATTAAATAACCTATATTTTTTATTTATTTCATCAGTCTCATAATGTTGGAATACCTGTATTATCTTGCTCAGCTCATCAAAGGAGGACTTGCAGTCCCCGCAGTACTTCTGTGCCAACTGCTGTATACATCTGTTGACACTAGAGCCTGCTGCTGTCCCTGTAGTTACAGCTACCTCCTCCTGTAATATACAGAACCAAAATTAAAGCATTTTTTTGAAAAACAAAAAAGTTCTGAAACTGATCACTTTACAATTTTCAAGTAGTACAGTACTTTGTACCACACCAGTTTCATTAGTCCCATGCTGTAATACTACAGGGGGAGGGGGGTGGATTTTCTCAAATTCAATCCAGTTAAATGGCAATGTAGAGCATGGTACCCTGTTAAGGTGACTCTCCTACATAACAGCCAGACTACGAAACTGTCAATCTCCCAAAATGAAGCAATGAAGAAAACTGCCATTCAATGTGAGAAGGGCCCAAGGTACCAAATATTTCCCTATGAGCACTTTCTAAGAGTTCTCTGGTCCGAGGACCATCTGGACTCACCAGTAGCCTGTCTCCGCCATGTTCAGTAATCCTGATCAGCTGTGTCTCCAGGGTGGGTCTGTTCATTTGGAGCTGCTTGTACACACGGTCCGCCTTCTCCAGCAGGTTATTGATGGTCTGGATGGCCTGGAAGATGGAAGGAATATCATCAGGAGAAACAAAACCAGTAAAAAAATTCTCTAATCTAAAATGGACTCAATACTTATTTGTTCTCAAATAATACATTACTGCTGCAAAGAGAGACCACAAAAGCCACCGTTAACCCCCCCACCCCCCATAACGGAAAATAGCCCATGAATACAAAATATGCAACACATTCAGAAATTTTAAATTTACCAAGTTTTTAAATAATTTTGCAAGCCTGTAATCCACAAATAATTCCACAAAACTTGATGAAATTTAGCCATCTCAGAATTCTGCATCCAACCAAAGGGAATAACACAATACAGGCGTGTTTCAAGACCAGGTTACAGGTTGACCTACCTTCTTCCTGTCCTCCTCATTCTCAATGGGGTCCACGGCACAGCAAGGCTTGGCGTACATGGTGAAGTCAAACTTGGCATACTTGCAGAAGCCACAGGAGTTACACAGGAATGGGTCCTTTTCATCATAGTTTATGGCCCTAGATATGAATGAATGTGATGAGATTTCAGATTCATGAACATAACACATCACAATGTCTTAAAATGCCTACTCAGTTAGAAAAAATTATATTCAAAAATCGATAAAACTAATTTTTGGGCTTTAGCATCTGTTACCAGATTACCTTAAAGTATCTCATTCAACTGTCTATAATTTACATGTAATGGTAGGATCTCGCTGTAGACTGATTTCTACACTAAGATAATCCTATCAAGGTTCTTTCATTCAACAGATGTGGCACCGCCTCTTGAATACAGCCCACATTTACACTGTCTGTCCTGCATAACAAACACAATGTTACCTGCACTTGTGGCACTGGTAGACATTCTCTCCACAGTTTCCACAGACCCCAGGGTTGGCTGGTACAGACACACTACAGCGGGGGCACTGCAAGGTCTCCACTGAGGCTTGGAAGTTGTCATAGAAGTCAGCATACTCCAGCATTAGGTTGCAAGCAACAATGGGCAATGGGAACTCAATCTAGGGAAAAAGGAAAGGTATTAATGGTTGATTCAACTGCTATTTTGTTAATATGTTAAGCATTTTCTTTCCACCTCTCTCTCTCTCTCTCTCTCTCTCTCTCTCTCTCTCATACACACACACACACACACACACACACACACACACACACACACACACACACACACACACACACACACACACACACCTACTGAAATAAGCTACATTTAGCTGTAAGAGTATATATATGCACCTTGGCTTCAGTCTGTCCTGCAGTCAGAGTCACTCTCTTGGCTCTGTGCCACAAATCAGACCTAAAAAAAGAAGGTTGAATGTTTATTTGAAAGAATTTTTATGTCATTCGTGCAGCAAATAATGCCCCTCATCTCTTTAACTGTAACATCTGCAACTACTAATTAACACATTAGTTCAAGTTCCATTAAAATACACTGTTAAGATTTTATAAGTGTCAAAACAATCTGTAAAATGTGGTTCAATTTATATATGACTTAAAAGGTGCTCTTAACCAGATTCTCCATATAACATTTTTATTAAAATATATATATTTCAATATAAATTATCGCACTTCACAAATATTACTACACAGCTACAATACTCGTCAAGTGCATGGTATTCTATTCATTGCATAAAACGAAACTACTGTCAAGTGCGACTTCTATTATGGAGCCAAAGTTGATAAGTTTTAAACTAACACACCTGTTTTTCAGCTCCACAATCCCCTGAACTGATCTGTTGTTGTAGTAGATATTCAAGGTACGGACCTGGACACAAAGACAAAACAAATCAGAATTTTTATTATTTACAATTGCTTCTTTGTGCAAATAAACAGCAGCTTTGTGTAGACATGAAATATAACAATGTATTCTGGTTATATTACACAGCTAACTTGAAGGCTTATTCCTGCTTACAACTGTCTATTCCACCACAATGGTAATACTTCCTTCACAATTGTTTCTAAAATGTGTGTACATTCCAAAAATCTAGACTTCCAATTAGCCAATAAGAGTCTGATTCCTAATTCCTAGGTGAAATGTATGAGAGCAAAGTAAACCAATCAGCCCATTCTTCCCAGGAGAGTTCTTGCATCTAATTAAAAATTATTTCCAAATTCTGAGAAATCTTAACACATATTTAGTGTCAAGTTCAGCAGACAACCCACCATCTTGGTTCTCTTCAGGTCAGTTATCTTCAGTGATATCTTGGAGATGGTGTGACTTCCCACAAGTTTCACTATCTGAGTGGTGGTGGTGAACTTGGAGTCCACCTTGATGGCAGCAAGCTTCAGGTTCTGGAAAAAACATATTCCTTAGAAACAAACACAATATCTAGATTTTTCTTCTTTTAATACTGCAAGCCTTTAGATGTGCAAGTGTGTGTGTAACAATCTGATGAGAACTTAAGTTTGGCTATGAAAGAGGATTATAGGTAATATGAATAGGATGAATAAGATCAATGTTACAACTACTTACCTATGGCCAAATACTTCATTTTGAATTTTTTACTTTTACAAAACTCACAAGATCTAATCAAACACTGACAAAACTTACTTCATGTGTGATAACTGTACTTACATTACATGGGACCTCAGGGTTGTTACACACCAGACTACATGTGTGATAACTGTACTTACATTGTATGGGACCTCAGGGTTGTTACACACCAGACTACATGTGTGATAACTGTACTTACATTGTATGGGACCTCAGGGTTGTTACACACCAGACTACATGTGTGATAACTGTACTTACATTGTATGGGACCTCAGGGTTGTTACACNTGGGACCTCAGGGTTGTTACACACCAGACTACATGTGTGATAACTGTACTTACATTGTATGGGACCTCAGGGTTGTTACACACCAGACTACATGTGTGATAACTGTACTTACATTGTATGGGACCTCAGGGTTGTTACACACCAGACTACATGTGTGATAACTGTACTTACATTGTATGGGACCTCAGGGTTGTTACACACCAGACTACATGTGTGATAACTGTACTTACATTATATGGGACCTCAGGGTTGTTATATATCAGACTTCATGTGTGATAACTGTACTTACATTGTATGGGACCTCAGGGTTGTTACACACCAGACATGGGTCACTCTCCAGGTAGTAGCCATCAAATTCCACAAGACCCTGCAGCATACTGAAATAATACAACAGATAACTTTCAATTCTGGAAAATATCTTTCTTTTTCAAGACTGAATTATATTGATGCCAAAATATTTCTGGTCATTCATTCATTTCATCTTACAAACTAAATGCAGCAAAGACTTTCTTTGTCGGTTATCCCATTACCACTAGCAATACTATACTTTAATTGGTCAGAATAAATATGTTATGTATATTAAAGGTCTCAGCAGGCATCACATAGACAATCGATACCAAACATAACATCTGCACTATTTTAATAATTTCAAGTTTTTCCAACAGGAATATTTTACTTCCACAAATCCGGTTAAGATGATATATTAAGTGTGGTCATCCTTACTTGTATATGCTGGCATTGGGATGGTTTGCCAGGATCTGGTTCTGTCCTCTCAACACATCCACTGCTTTCTCTACAAACTCCTTACACCTCCGGTCTGAGCCCTGGGGGGTCTTGAGGACAAAGTAGCCCAGGAGGTCCACAAATTGGGCAGTTTTCCTGCCATAGGAGGGCAGCTCTGGCCATATGTTCCACATGAGACACAGCAATGCCTCCTGCTGGCTCAGAGAGGAATTCCTGGAAAAAATTTACACAAATGTCACGTGAAGTTTTTTAGTACAGTTAAATTTTCTTTTATTTTACATTACTTTAATTTTGCTCACACAATACATTTCGAAAAGTAATTAAGTAATCTTCCCACTTTGAAAGAAAAAAAGATTCAATATATTTCCTAATATTCAAATGCAGTCCCATTATTTGTAGGTTTGTGTATTTGCTCTGTGCACAGTGGGAATGGACTTAAACTCTCAGATGAGGAATGCATTCAACATAAAAGTTCACGAATATTTCTTTTCAAAAATTTAACTCTTTTTCTCTCAAATGACTGCATTACTATGTGAAGACATATATACAACATGCTTTTTTATGTGTCTGCCCTGCTCAAAACTACATATACTATACTATAAGTGAAAATAAAAAAAAAATACCCATGCATATATATTTGTAGAGCTTTCTATAATACCTGTAAATGTGCAGTACCAAGGCGTGAGCCTGCCAGCGCACAGCTGTGGAGTTGGACTCCAGAAGGAAAGCTCTCATAAACTGAATCAAGAGTTCACGATCCACAAACTTGTTGACTTGTTGAACTAAGATAATGCTTAGACCTTCATCATGTTTTGGTGGAGCTTCTTCTCCCTCTGAAAAGGAATAATGAGGAAAAGCAGTTTAATTCTCAGGTAAAAAATTAAATCAAGAAAATGATTTAATTAGTAATAAACACATTTTCATTTTAGAAAAAAAAAACAGAAATGATCCCTGCAATTATTCACAAATTCTGAAGCACCATCCTATTTTCACCAAAAACAGGTACAAAATTATTAATCTTAAATGTAACAACATATACCAATAGTTCTTTTTTTTTCTCAATACATTAAAAAATCATAAACTAACCTTCTGACTTCTCCTTTTCCTTCTTAGCCTTAGCAGAGGCTCCTGCTGGTGGGGCTTGAAGCTGGCTTATCTTGGTACCACAGAGAGCACACTGCAGCAGCTGCAGCAACACTGGTGCCACCCCGTCACTCAGGCAGATACTAGCCTGGATCAGGAAGGACAAGATGGTGTCCTCCTTGTGGCAGAACTTTTGCCAGTTGGCAGTCCTGGTGGTGGCAATCTCTGCACAGGACTTCAGCTGTTCAATCTGGAAAAGGATAAAACCTGTAGGATAACCATACATTCTTAAGTAGTCTAAGAATTTTAAAAACTTGCTTCTTTTGTTTCAAATCATTTATTAACCACTGGGTATTTACATCAACAGACAAAACAATCTGTTCAATCAAGTATGAGATCTACAGTTCTCACCAGTGTTATCAGCTGTTCAATCTGGTAATAAAATGTCAAAGTAAATTACCTGTAGAATCACCTTACATTTTTAAGTCATCTAATCATTTTTCAACCACTTGATATTTATATCAACAGACAAAACACAGTATCTCTACAACCAATTATGAGATGTACAGTCCTCACCAGTGTTATCAGTGTGTCATATGGTATAACAATAGGGTGGGTGCTTGGCTTGGTCACATTCATGCCATATTTCTCACATATGTTCCTCACTTCCTTCATGTAGGCATCCAAAGCATGCATGTCCCGCAGCTGACGGTACTTCTCTTTGGACCCACAGATGAACAGAAGGAGCTGAAAATTAGAGACAATATCACACTTGATGAGAACCAAAGACAAATGCATCTTATCTAAAAGATCTAATGGCAAAGCAGTAACATGGAAATTATAATCATAAGATAATGGTGTATAACACAAAAAAAATCTTGATGTAAAAAAGGACATATTAACTATTATCCTGTATTTATTGAATCAGATAAAAAAAGCTCTCCCTACAATGTATATCTCTGACTTTGCAATATAATTAGCCAACATTTCCAACTGTTTTCCACTGAATTTACTAAGAGAAAACTAACAGCTAGTAAAGTCACAGCATGCTAGCAGAACCCCTACCTTTCTCACTTGTCTCTTCACAAATGGCGTCTGCTGTGTCATCATGTACTCCGACAGCGTCTGAAACCAAACCTGGTCAAATGAGGGTGACGCCAAGCTAGGGCTGGCATCCGCTATCTTCTTGATCTGATACGGCAGTCTGAGGACCATCTCTGTCAAGAGCTGGGGGTAGGCCTCAAACACGTCGTTTGCATGCCCCTTCACGTACTGTCGTAGGAAGAAGGGAGACATGTCTGGGGGAGGGGTGGTGGGGTGACTTTTCAACAGTTGTCCTGGTACTGAGGCAGTGTCCTGAATAGGTAAGATTACATGTCACTGGTGATCTAATGTATTGCTTTTGATATAAATTTAATATGGTCACATGTGGGTACAATATCAAAATTTAATGCCCAAAGTTTCACATTTACACCAAATCATGCCCATATATTTATTACTTGACCAAACCCAATAAAGTTTCATTGCCACGGTTCATAAAACTTTTTATTTCGAAATTCATAAATAGTGGAGAATGCTTCACATATATACCTCATCAGGAGGCAGTTGCTTCCAGTAGGAGTGCAAACTCTTCAGTGTGTTGAGGCAGTAATCCACAGACCCACAATGCAGCAGAGCACCTGCTGTGCTGGAACTAATCAGAGTTGGTGGCTGGAATATAATACATACATTATTAGTGATTACTTTAAGCAATACTTATGCCATAAAACACCTACTGTAATGGGACTAGTAAGGGAGGTAGGACATGATTCCAATAAAACTGAAATTTACAATGAAAATATGGAGTATTTTTCAGTCATATCAACACGCATGCAGTTGCTTTTAATATTGCTAATAACATAATGTCATAATTCTCACAGAAATACATAATTAAAAGTAATCCATAGCTGTATAAGCAAGCAATAAAGACCATCAAAATCCTAAATTACACAGGCATAAAATATATAAAATATTTGTGCCTACCTCCCCAGAGGGCTTCATGCCTGCGCGTGTTCTGGACATGAACACACTGAGAAGGCGGAGAATTATCAGCTGAACCTCGTTCACATTTGTCCTGGTCACCACCTCCTGGACATTCTACAATACAGTGAGTGTAGGTTAAATATTGTAATATTAATAGAACTGTACTAGAAAAGGCACTTGATATTAAATTTTGACCTTTAGGAATAAGATTGCAGATCAATATTATATCAATACTATAAATGTAGCTGATTATTATATCATGATGAATCTTCATACATTTAACAGTTACTGCATTGAAAAGAATATCGCTGTTTTTTTTTTCTCTTGTATTAAAACTATCCACAATTGGAGATGGTGCATCATGTAATGAAAGGGAAAACAAAATACGAAACGTTAAATATGGCAAGTTATTGGAGTACCTTGAAATCCATCTGTTTAAGCAGAGCTGTGAGCAGGCTGTCCAGTACTGCCTTGTCCCTCTCTTCCTCACTGTCTAGGTCAGAGGTCAACATCAGGAGCACCTACAGGTAACACGATACTATATATTAGAACATCAATATTTAAGGTCAAGTCTGATCAGAAACAGCTCCGCTAATATCACTAGGCAACCCAACTGGATAACACATAAATAAAATATCTAAGGAACATTTTGATCCTCTGTGATATTTGGAGTAATAAGTTAGACTATTTATAGTTTAAGCTATACTCTGTGAACACAGCCAGACATACACACCTGCATAAAAGGTATAGCTCTCACTCCACCAATGTTCCTCAACTCTGTGATGTATCCTATCATCTTTTCTAGCAGCATTAGACGCAGGTGGTGCAACCTGAAATAATAAGTTGGATTTATCAGGTTATTACTTTGAACTAGGTTCTTGGATATACAGCTGATCCACTGACTGAAAGTGCCTCTGTACTCGCCACATCTAGTTAAAATTTTGCTTATTTTTCAAAGTTGTCAGCTACCAGCATTCTCTCTTTGAGTGCCCTACTTTGTGACAGTTGTAACATATCACTATACCGTCATTCGTCCAGCCAGAATTTCTTTTTGTAAAAGGCTGTGAGTTGACGTCATTTTGGAGTTGTTTGTTGTGTGGCCGCGGGGAGGGAGTATTATACGCTCGCGTTTCTATTTTAGCCATTCTGGTTTGTAATTTTTCTAAACAGTTTCTAAACATTTGTGTCTACCGCTGAGATGTCCATGGGTTCTTCATGTCTTTGTACTTGTTGCATTTGTGTTTTATGTGCTAGCACGTTTGTTTGTGGAAAAACTGCTTGTTGCTGTTGTTGTTGCTGTCCCACGATTTGACGGTACATTTCTTTACTGGAAACTTCATGTTTGACCCAGTTCTAGGCTTCCAATAGCGTACTTGGACAACCCCTCATGAGGGTCTTCTGCTAACCTCTTATCTAAAAGAGCTCTGATGTACGCTCATAGAATTGTTCGTTCTGCGTCTTCGTTACGCAAAATAGGGTAGGCCCTGTTACTGGCCTCTAAAAATCACAGATTTAAAGTTGCTATTATCTCATAACCCTACTGCGTGATAATTTCTAATTCTGATTTTAATTTCTCCTGTTGGTGTGGAGAAAGAAAAGACCTTTGGATGTGTTCTCTTATTGTGGGCCAGACCAACCCCTACCTATCAGGTTGGTAGTTTAAAAATCGCTCTAGACCCCTCCTCAGGGCCCCCCTAGCGGATATAGATACTAGTTTCACAACCCCCCTCACAGTAATGAATGTATGATATCAGCAGTATGGACATGAGATCTTATCTTGCTGTTGATGAACTTTAAATCTGCTAATTTCCTTCCAGTAGTACCCTGTACTAACCTGTGGCTGGTGTCATTGTCTATATCCGGCTCACAAATGTCAACCTCATATCTCATGGATCCCGAGGGTAAGCCAATACTGCTGGTCTCACTGCGGGGTCCCCCTGCCGTGTCCCTCTCCTGACCGCCATCACCATAGGCGCTGCTACGCCCACTCACTGGAACAGTGAAACCTGTATTAAAATACGAAAACCTTCTGTGCAGGATACAATGGATAACTTAATGCTAATCTTAATATGATTCATGAAATAAAGACGCTTGACTTCTGAAAAAAATTATCGCACAAAAACAAATCTGTGAAAAAATTTCAACCATCATATTTTGACTATACACACCATTCTGTTCTCCAGACACGGATCCACTGGCGCTCCCTCCACTCTCAGACCCTCCCTGTTCTGCTGGGGATGTCCTGAGAGTTGACCCCTCTGTGGCTGCTGTACTGCCCGCCTCGTCGTCACTGGCCGGTGCTGATGCCGTCGTGTCTGAATAGTGGCTGCTGTGGTCTGTACCCTGCTATGGAAAATATCTGTGTCAGTGAATCATTGGGATAAAAGATTTTGTGTGTATACAGGCTGTGACAATTATGGTGTGTTTTGCAGGATATCATGGCATTTTTCTGACGTATTTATTGTAAACATTTGGCTTAATATCAATCTGCTGTCTCCAGGCCACTTGACATGGCAGTGATCTCATGAGAAATTCAAACTAAATTAGGACAATGGAAACAACAACAAAAAATTCACCAATCTGCGTAAGTTGATGGGTTTGCTATATTATTAGTATGCAGTTTACAAAAAGCAACAACAGGGCAACAAAAGGTACAACAGTTTAGTAGAATGCATGAAAAACAGACAGAAAAATAATATCCAAAAAAAGTTTTAAATAAACGAAAGAGAAAATTGATTATTCTTTCCCCCAATCCTTTGAAGCTGTAGGTAAAAACGTGCACAACTGTCTTTGAAGCTGTTGCTAACACTTCCTGTAACACATTCCATTCAAGTTTGTGTAAATCTCACTTACAAAATGACTTTTCAATTACAAACTCCAAAGTCAATTTAGTCTGACATACAAAAATTTCCAATTGTAAATTCTCGAGAAACATGCCAAAGCCCCTCCCCCAGTCGATTGCAATCCACTTACTTGTCTCTGTGCTCCCAAGCTCAGCCCCTGTAGACTCAGACCGCCCTGTTGACCCTAGGGGACAAAATAAAACATCCAAACCATGCTCTAAAATAACAGCCATGCTACTGGCATTTAACGTCAACTGAAAATATTTACTTTAAAACTTTTATCATTGTGGAATGTATAAATCAAGGCAACCATGACAACAATTCAACCAAAAATTAAAACACAGTGTGAGGGTAAGCAAAACCTTCAACAGAACTGCTTCCAACTTAAAAGGCAAATAAATATATTACCAAGCATTGAAACAATGAAGAAAATTAGGCAGAGAGCAGAATATATTAAAGCTTGCCAAGGGTAATCCAGAAGATATTCACTCTCAAAACCAGGAAAGGTAAGGTCCTTCTAATAATCTTGTTCATAGGGAGGTAAAACAAGTTAGGTCATATCTATTCAAAGAAACCATAACAGCAGTGAGAAACCAAAAACATAAAACACTAACTCTGCCATACCAGCTCACCTATTTCTGCAATATCATCTTATGTTCAGTCTTATTTTACTCACTTAAGAAATAACTTCTGTGTACATAAAAGCTCATCCATTGAAATTGTGATGGCCACAATTTTGTCTTTCCATCAGACACCTCATTCACAATTTTCAAAGACCTACATCAGGTATGGATCTACTCTGGACTACTAGAACTTACATGTACACAGATTTAAACACATTAATAAGATTCACTACTGCTATTCAATTATTTCCAACCCCCAGCCCACCTGTTCCTGAAGACTAAGAGCAATTGCCAGTTCCACCATGGCCTCATCATCAGCATCAGGGGGGATGTCCAGCACAGGGGGGTAGTTCATGCCCCCCATGTGGGCCCCCATATGGGCCCCAAGGATGGCCTCCAGTGATGGCCCTCCTGGTATGCCAGCTTCAGGGGGCTCTAGAATCATAGGTTCTGGGTGTTCCTGTAATGATAATATACAGCATTCCTGTAATTCTGGAGATGTTTTATGGATGAAGTAAAATTTTATGTGAAAAATATGTTATGGTTGCCTACACTGCGTACTCAAGTATAGAACCACATCTTTCTAAAGGATAATGAGCCTATAAGTGCTTAGAGCATATCTTTGAGAATATACCACAGGTTTGCCATTCGTACTACTCACCAAGCTGATCTTCACACTAACTGCTACCTCAAACTGATCCTCTTACTTACAACCACTTCATACTGATCCTCACGCTCACCACCACCCCATACT